TGTCAGAAAATAGAGTAAAGTTAAAAAAAAAAAATTAATTTGTAATTCATAGTTTAAAAATACGAGCAATTTGTTTTTGCTAAGTTTTCAATGATTGCTTTTTCATTTTCGTAGTCTTGTTTAGTTATTGAAATTTGGAACATTCTGTGATCGTGAATTAAAACTTGTCATTTTGTGTTGTTATAGGGCGTTGGAATTTATTGGCATAACGAGGTCTGTTTGGGTTTCTTTTGTATACATTTTGAATACATGTTTTGAACTACTGTATTTGTCGTGATTGTCAAATCTAAAAAGGCGATTTTGTATTTCTATTGTAAAATTTAATTTGGTTAGATATTGTGTTTAAGTAATTTAAGACCTGATTAAATGTAGTTTCCTTCCCGTTGAAAAGACAAATTACGGCATCTATACCAATATAGTAACTAAATATAGCATATAGTAACTTATATGCTAGTTGTATACTAAATCTGTAAATATAATATTATGATACAAAACTTGATTGGGATGACACGAACTTGAAGTTGTTGACACGTCCTTGAGCTTCTAAAATATGTAGGATTGTGTATCCCTTTCTTTTTAACATTAGTTGGTCAGTACTGTTACTGTAAGTAAAATCCCATTTCCCTTATGCCATTACCTATATTAAATTTATTTCAATTTATTTTCAACTTCCTATTATTATTTTTGTTCAATCCGGAAACAAAATGATCAATTCCACCTAATGTAGTCTTGGCAATACAAATTCAAATCACAACAATATAGAGTATTATATTGTCTGTGACTGAACGTTTTAGTACTGATTAACACTATAGCCTACACATAGGCTAGACTGTAGGGAATTACGTTTTTTTAGTGCTACATAACTACTTTCTGATATTTAGTTAGTTATTTACTTGGTTACCTATATTAATACTGAAAACTGTACTCCTGGCGAGTATATTTGTTTTCCATAGTAATATATATTTCTCTTTTCTAAAAGGTACCTAAGTTAAACAATGTGTAGGCCTATATACATACATATTGTTCCAGGGTACCAGAAGGGCTACAGAAAACATACATTGTTAACCTTTGACATCCAATAGTCAATGGTAATACATACAGCCAAATTGCATAACAGGGGTTCTCCTTCATAAAAATATCTAATACAGACTACAAAAATATATCATTTGAGGTTACAGTATTTATTCCAACGATTGTTCAAAAATGTAATATTTCAACTGCCTATAAATCTTGTCTCGTTAATAAACACAAACGTGCATTTTAGTGAATGATTGGAAGACGCTAATCGGTGGTGAAAGTTTCGTAATATAAAAAGGTTTTGCATAACGTAGTACTGGAGTGTGAAAACTGTTTATGACGATTAGATTTAGGTATCTGTATTCGTAAAATGCTATGGGAAAGGAAGGAAAACAGGTCCGCGACGTAGGAAGTGCTGATGGAAGCAGTAATGCAAGGCGAGCTGTCCGGAGTGCGGGAACTGCTTATAACGATTAGATTAAAGTACCTGCAATCCTAAAATAATGGTATTGAAAGGGAAGGAAACAGGTCCGCGACGTGGGAAGTGGTGAAGGAAGTAGTTTTTTTTTTTTTTTTTTTTTTTTTTTTTTATGGGGAGGAGGTAAAAATGCATTTACGCACACTGAGGTGCTCAATGGCCACTCAGTAGTGCCGGACTCCCGCGGATTCATTGTCCCTGGACTACCGGCTAAAAAGCCCCCTCGTCTCCTAGGACACTAGCCTGGAACTGTTTCGCACATAACTTCGGGCTAGGCCTTTTATACTACGCCCCTAGGGCTTTCCTTCTGGTTTCCTCAGAAAACTAAGGCCGATCGAGGTCGACCTTCTTATCCCGAAGTATGGCTTCGACGAACTGCTTTGTCTGCAGGTTTGCTGCGGCGGGGGTATTTTTAAATAACTACTTTACTTCTTTGCAATTATTGCTCGATTTCAAGTAACGTGTTTACCGGTGGGGCACACGGAAGATTTCTCAGGTGCCGTTTGACGTCACTAACTGCTGACGTCACTAACTGCTGCGTCTGAAGAAACAGACAATTTTATAATTTTCTATTATTAAATTAAACTGTCATAACCTAACCAAACTAACCAAACGTGCTGATAATGGAAAAATCGAATAAAGGTTTACTAATCTAAAAAATAGTTTTGTTCATAAAATAAAATTATAATTGTCTAAAACTCCATTTTATAATCTTTTAATTATAAAATTAAACTGTCATAACCTAACCAAACCAACCAAACTTGCTGATATGAAAAAATTGTTGATAAAAAGTTAGTTCTGCCGGCGGGATTCGAACCCGGATCATTCGGATTGTCAGCCCGCAACGCTATCCACTGCACCACCGAGGCCGATGGCTGCATTTGTATCGTTGCGGTATTGGTGTTCCCTCAAAGTGACGTCAGCAGTTAGTGACGTCAAATGGCACCTGAGAAATCTTCCGTGTGCCGTTTCGACGTGTTTACTATAGTTACATTTAAAACAATATTAAAGATACACCAGCTGTTCGATTTGTTTTTGATTCAGTTTGTTTGTTTACTTTTCCTTTAGTTAACCTTTTGATTTTAGGTACCATAGATTTCTATATTGCATCAAGAGTAGAGTATTTTTCCTTGTGGACAAATAATAAATGCTTAGACAACGCTTAATCGAGCAGTTTGGATTGGACGAGACAGGGAAGAATCACTAAATCTTCTCTGCGTCCCCGTGGCGAGGCACGGGCAGAACAACTAAATTATTTAAAGCCCAATGATCAGGAATAACTGTGTCCAGTCTCTAACCATCAAAAAGCTACTGATTTTTCTCAGGAGTGTCCTTTCAACTTAAGAGATTATTTTACCTCGGTCCTCGATGCGATACGGGAGGGGAGAGTGAATCAGCGATCCGCTTCAGTGCCAAACTATAAAAATGAGTTGCCTAATTGGCCGAGAAGGCTCAAGTTTTCAAGGTGAACTAGTCCAAGTAAGCGCAGTGTGAGGATAGAAGTCTTAAACACGAGGAAACCACAATTCTAAGTTTTTAGTCTTAGGTTCATGATTATTATCTATATCCATATCATTACCGGTATGGATCATTTTGTGAGAACATAAGGGCTATATTTTCTGTGTTTGTCCTATTGTTTTGGCTGACTGTAACCACTGATTTAAATTAAACAACTCCATGAGTTTTCTGGTTTAAAGATTCGGTATCTATCGATCACGAACCCTCCGGTAAAATAATGTTTTTTCCTTAATATTATACTTAATAAGTCCTGAATTCAAAAATGATTGTCATTTCCCCCGGTATTGGTTGGATGTTAGGATTTAGGTTCAGAGTTGGCTCTGTCACAAACCAAAAATCTATATATATATATAATAAAAGGTAAAAAGCCCTCACTGACTGACTCACTCATCACTAATTCTCCCACTTCCCACTTACCTAGTAGGCTGAAATTTGGTACACTGATTCTTTAGGCATTAAATAGGAAAACTTAGTGGTTTTTATTCTGATCGGACTCTCGGACTCCACCCCAGTGGCTCTGGAGTTTCCCATGTTAACCTAATGAGTACTCATATTTAAATGGAATTAATGAATCATAACAGCTGTTTCAATTAAACAAGTTGGTTCTGTTCTATGATGTTCAATAGCATTAAAGTTACAAGGATTACCAACAGAGTGCAGCACTATTATTTTTTTAAATATTTGACAACAGCTAATTTGAAAGCAAAAGGTGAGTGAGCGTAGCGAACGAACTTCAACCCGGAGGCGAGGTAGCGTAGCGAACGAGCTATTCTGAAGGCAAGTGAGCGCAGCGAACGAGCTCCAACCGTAAAGGTGAGTGAGCGTAGCGAACGAACTTCAACCAGGACGTGTGAGCGCAGCGAACGAGCTCCAACCTAAAGGTGAGTGAGCGTAGCGAACGAACTTCAACCAGGACGTGATTGAGCCATACGAACGAGCTCACATATGAAGTTAAACGGGGCAAAGTCCGTGGGTACAGCTAGTCTATATATAAAGCCAAAAGTACTGATGAACTTTTAAGAAAACTACAAGTCACACCCCCATAAACCATATACTTAAAATGTTCGTCATGACGAGAAACCTTGCGCAAAATTATCAATTATTTCATAAATTGCCCTATAAGGTCGTAGGCCATGGTGGAAGGAAAAAACATAGGTGTGCTATTCCCACATATTCTGACGTCACTCGGATTGCAAACAAAAGATCACCTGATTGTAACTGTCAAATTAGTATATTATGTATTTGTTTTGATTTGGTTGTTATTGTTTTTATTATTATAAAAACAATAACAACCAAATAAAAACAAATACATACTAATTTGACAGTTACAATCAGATGATCTTTTGTTTGCAATCCGAGTGACGTCAGAATATGTGGGAATAGCACACCTATGTTTTTTCCTTCCACCATGGTCGTAGGCATAATTGCTTTCCAAAAGGGAACTTTCCATTTACCTAATGTTAAAAATGCCTCAGCTGTTATTATTTGTTCGTATTACCATTACTGTATTCTGTTTTGTTTATTTGATCTTAACTTAACCAATCAATAGTTTTATTAATACTAATGTAGCAAAACGGGGTGGAGCAGCCCGTGGGTAACAGCACAGATAATATAACCCCTACTAGTAGGGGTTTATTATCTGTGGTAACAGCTATAGTTCGGCCGCTTAGAAAGCGACCTCCTCCAGCATTGGTTTAGCATTAGCGCGCAGGTAGTTTTCTAAGCGGCCGAACTATAGTATTTATATTTGTTAAATCAGGTTAGAATTCCGAGAATGTAGAACCACATAGGAACTGACTTTTAATGGCTTCTTCCTCCTTCTGGACCTACGCAAGCTTTTATATTTCCTTCTTTCGTTGTGAAGAAAGTGAGCACATAATGTAAACTCTCAATAGAGTCTATGTTTACTGTTTACATTGAAACGTATAAGCATTAGCAATGACGCTAGTGTTGCCCCGAGGCCCTGTGCTGTGGTCGGGTTCCCCCGTGTTGACGTCATATCATGGCTGTTCTGGCTCTGTCTCTGTCTTTGTCTTAGCTTAGAGTCCGGTCCGGCATTAGTGACCAGCCGACGCCGAGGACAAGATGTGCAAACAGGCAAGTTACAACACGACCTTCTCACCGCAGTATTTCACCTTCCTTTTTTTGGACATTTGGAACAGTTACACGGAACTGTTTGGAACATGTTCAATGCAACTGTGACAAAAAGTATAGAATAGGTTTGGCGTAACCGTTATATTACAAATAGATCCGTTCCTTCTTAACTTGATTATTTTTCCTCCAAAAAATTTAATTATTATGATATACCTTTTTTGCTCCTCCTCATAATAATATCAAGTCTTTTATAGACATAACCTGTAAGTTAACTGGTTTCGTTTATTAGCGAATTTCCCTATAGGGAAGTAGCTATTACCGTAGGTGGCATGGTAAGACCTAGGCCCGGGACCGATCTACTTTTTCATTTTGATGTCCCCAGAGGCCAAAAACACTATTCGTTCAAATATATATATATATAATATATATATATAAGTATATGTGTCCGTGAAAAGAGCTTAAAAAACAAATAATTTAGTATTTATCAAAGTGTTTTAGTACAATTATTGGTTCAAGGCCCCACTAGAAAAACGTAGAGCCTTAATTGGTGGTTATGGAGAAAATTCAAAAAATTGTTATTAAAATTCCCATGTTATTCTTATGGAGAATATTGTAAAATGTTGTTGTTTGCTTGTTTATGGATATATTTTGATCAAACTTGTAAATTTATTTATTTTATACTAAGTTAATAATATTTTTCTAAAAACACACTTTTTACCCTCCCTGTAGCAGCAAGCCTAGGTACTCATAAAACCTAATGTTAATGAAATATATTTAATTGAAAATCAATTCGAGGAAATGGAATTTCGCTTATTTGGTATGTTTGCTGTGGCGGGGGTATTTAATTATTCTTACATTACATCACAAAAACCGGCTTATTCTTAAAAGATAATGATAGTAGCCTGCTAATGAAAACTATTCAAAGAAATTGCAGTTTTGTTAAATTTGCTAACAATGAGTAAGGTTATAAGGTATAAGGTATTGTTGATGGAGGAGTCATAATGAAAAAGCGCACAAATTAAAATCAAAAGTTTTTACTGCAAACCATAGAGAGTACAATTATTCACATAAAAAAATATGATTTAAACACCCTTTATTTTTTAGCAAGTCAGCAAATTAAAATTAATACATACAATAATGGAATGACAAGAATAACTAGAATTCATGAGAATGTAGTTTTTAAAGTGATGCATAGCTATCTCATTTGTAATGGAAGAGGTTCAAGAGGTCCTTTTTCCTTTCTGCTTCACAAATATTTGAAATCCTCATGAACTGCAGGCTCCGCCAAGCTTATTATTTGTACACAATGGTTGTACTTTAGAATAAAGCCTAACAGAATAAAGCCAAACACCCTTAATAGCTAACATTGTATGTATGGTCATCACCAGTGTGAACATTAATAATTTCTTGAGTTTTGCTTTTTAAACCTGCAATAATATTTGCAGATTCCCTGTTTGTTGGTTTACTTAACCTTTTTAAACATTTAGTTTTTTTCTTTATGGAAAACAATCGTACTTGGGGCTCAATCTTTTTATTTACATTAATCTTCTTTGTACATTTGATAGAGCCAGAAGATGCATTGTTGAGCAAACTTAACACACTATCAAGTTTCTTTTCAATAACCTGAAAATTCTCACCTTTGAGCTCAGTTTTACCTAGCAAATTTACAATAGCATTTGCTTTATTAGATAGGGTTGAGTTGACATGTATTTTCACTGGTTCTGACTTGACTTTTTCAAATATACTATCAATTTCATTGAAAACATTTTTCTCTGTTGTAACAACATTAGATTTGTCACCGAGACCAAAAACCCTACAAAGAGCATGTATATGCTTACATATGTTCATTTTAATAACACTGTCATGGCATGAACACTTGAAAGAATGGATACAAATGTTACAAAATGAACACTTTGTACAGAGTTCTTCACAGACGTCCTGAACTTTAGTGATAGAATACTTGTTGTCACCTTCAGAGGAGTCAACAACCCATTCCTCTCCATCTGTTACAACTGCAAAATCAGATGGGCATATTGCAACACTGGCTTGGTGGGACTTGTTAATTTTGAAAACTCGCTCTGAAGGAGTCTGTTTAGAAAGCTTAATCAAGCGTTTGAACAAACTATCCCGAGCCATTTTCATAACAGCATTGATAGTTTTGTCCAAACGCTTGACTTTCTTTCCTTCTAAATATATGTGCTTTAAGTTCTTGTGGAATGATTCAAGATACATGTTAGTGTTAATGCCTAAGCCCTGTCTGTAGCAATATGCCCATTGTTCAGGACGCCTTCCATAGCATCTAAGAAAATACTCCCCATAATCTAGGGTGTCAGGGTCACTCAAAAGGTTTGTTATCGTTTGATTAAGTAAATGACAGAAAACCTCCTTTCCTGATAAATCCTGAAGCAATGATTTCACTGTTTTATAAACTATTGATTTTTTCTCATTGCCTCCTTTCACTTTAGAAAGATTTTTCCTCCAGCATCTGTCTACATGCCAGGTGCACAGTAATTTGTGTTTAGGGGCACTCATTACTGAGCACCAGGCATTGTAGAAAGCTGGAGCATCATCTGACATAAATGAAGTGGCATTTATAACTCCGACCTTTTCTTTTATTTTTGAAAAAAACAGAGACAAGTGTCCCTCGTCACATTTAGAGCTAAGACAATAGGCCACTGGACATCCAGCACCAAACTCATCAACAGTCATGAGTGTAATTAGTTCAATGTCGTACCCATTGGTACCGTGAGTACTGTCCACACAGATTTTGTCATGGCCAAACTTGAGAATCTGGGAGGCTTGGAACGAGGTCATTATGACTAGCAAAAAATCCTCTTTTTGAAGAAAAGGATGGTCTTCCCCTTGTCCTTTGAAAAAAAGCACAGGAGAGTCCTCACCCAGATGCTGCATCTCGTCCACCCACAGCTTGACACTCATGGCATCTTCAGAATGTCGCTTTGTTGAATAGGCAACATTGTGATCTCTCACAATATTGTGAAGGTCTTTCCTTTCCAAAAGCATCAATCTCGGAGGAAGATCTTTTCCACTCCTGACTTCATCCAGGATATGGTTAAAAGTTACACCCTCTCGCAACTTCCCTGGAAAAAAAAACTTTTATAAAATTTAAAACCCTATTACCTTAAAGAAGCAATGTTTGTAAATAGATAACAAGAATCTCAAAAACGGCTCTAACGATTTCGATGAAATTTTGTGTTAAGATTCAGTTTTAATTTTTAAGTAGCCTATGCCTAGGCAGTTATATTTCTTGTAAATAAAATTTTTGAGAGAATTGGTTAAAGTTTAAACATTTTTCCACCCTTAACTTTTTATTTCTTAGCCCCCTTACACCAGGACATTGTTAATCCGAACCTCGGTTTATCGATATCCTGGATATTCTGAACTTGTTTGTAAAAACTATAAGAAACAAGTTGACTACGTCGAGTTGTTTGCCTCAATGCAATGACAATGTGTAATTGTTGTGGTGAAATGACGATGTTGGTTTGTCGTAAAACAATGTTGATTTTCGGTATCAGCGACGCAAAGACGATTTTCGTATTTTGCTGGTATACAATGGGTTATTTTAAAACGTTTTTATTAGCTCGCTTTCTTGTCCGGTACAAATTTTGCAATCAATTTTATACTAACTTACCGATGAGCTAGAGACTTGAAATTTGAAACATAGCTCACAAGTGGATGACAATGCAATATTATATCATTTAATTTTCATATTTCCCTTGGGCTACGCCCCACTGGCTTCTAAATTTTCTATGTTTACATTTTGAAAGAATGTAAATATATCAATTAATTTAAGTCAGCTGTAAATACTTAAATTTGACAGTTCGAAGAGCAGACGTTAAGAGGTACAGGTTATGCTCCCAAGGGATTCTTTATACAAACAAACATTTCAAAATAAAGATAAACAATCTGATTGCAGATATGAAGGTGTTTGTTAATAATGCCAATTTTGTTATTTATTTAGTATTCTATAAAGTAAACAATAATTGAAATAGATTGATATATTTATAGTTAGTAAGTAGGCCTTACATTCAATCTAATACATAATTATATGAAAAGAAACTCAAATAAACCTTAGATTTCCCACATGCCTCTGCCTTAATCTGATATAGATGCTTGAAATAGATTTAACATCCACACACATTAAAAACTAAAAAGTAGAAAATAATTTATAAATAAAAAGTTTTTTTTAAACAAAACGTTTTTAAACGCACTAAAAAGTAGAAAATAATTTATAAATAAGTGGAGAGTATAAATACTTGAAAGATTTAAAACGAAAAACGTGGGGTGCATGCAATTGGTAATTATACATTAGTTCAATAGGTGAAGGTAATTGTAAATTATCTATTGCATGCACCCCACGTTTTTCGTTTTAAATCTTTCAAGTATTTATACTCTCCACATATTTATAAATTATGTTCTACTTTTTAGTGCGTTTAAAAACGTTTTGTTTGAAAAAAGTTTTTTTATTTATAAATTACTTTCTGGCAAAACTTATTACCTGGTTAATCCAAACATTTCGGTAATCTGAACCAGGTTCGGTCTCAATTAGATCGGATTATTAAGGTTATGGTGCAATTGATCTAAACAGCAATCTACACAGGAAAGAACTCATGATAAGACAAACAGACAAGATCAGATATTACTGGAAACTCAAATTCCCTCTATCCAACAAATATTTTTGTTTGTTTGAAATTCACTGTTATGGGCAGTTCATGTTGTTTATTCAATTTTTGCAGACATTTAATTAGATAATCTATGATGGCAGATGTGTGGAAAAATTAAATAAACAACAAATATTCTTAACAGCCTTTTACAATACCTAGGTTGATTCTACATGATAAACTTACCAGCAAGGTGGTCCTTTGTTGCTTTGTCTAGAGACAGATGACCAAGATCTTTGTTGTGTCCACAGTGTGTCTTCCAGTGTTTTACGCTCACAGAGTGGTCTTTTTTGAAAAAAACTTCTATTCTTGAGGGACAGCATT